CAATGATGGTGCCAACTTGGGCCAGTGAAGCAGCGTCCTCCACAACTAGATTGAAGAACAAAACGACAGCAACTTGTCTGTTCCCCTTCCCCTAATTCCTCAGTACTGTTCCCATCCCCCCAATTACCCAATAAAAATCTTTTTAAAAAAAGAAAACAACAGACTAACACAAATTGAGGGACATTCCATAAAATCTTCAACAGTAGGTCAGGAAATAGAAAGACTGAAGGGCTGTCACAGATTGTCACTCAACAATTAAATGCAACGAGGGATTCTGAATTGGATCCTGGACCAGTAGAAGGACATTAGCAGGACCACTGACAAAATTTAAATAAAGTCTATAGATTCATTATTAGTATTGCATCAATATTTTTTCCTGATTTCAATAATCATACTATGTTTTAGGTATAATGCTAGTATTTGGGGAAGCTGAGTGAACGTCTTAGGAGAACCTTACGCAACTTTTTTTGTAACTCCAAATATATTTCAAAATATAAACTTAAAAAATCAAAATATAAATGTTGCAAATCTTACGAACTTTTGAAGAACTTCCCATTTCATTTTCCATGTTACTAAAAGTTAAAAAGAAAACAACAGACCACTCTTCTCTATGATACAAATATAAAAATCTGAAATAAAAGAAGTGCACATTATATGCAGCCTTTAATTTCAGTGGTAATATGCTGTGACAAAAGTAGGGTTTGTTCAAGGAATGTTGACATCCTGGGTGAGCCTAAAGGGATTTAGACTTATGCAATGGCTCTGTTGGACTGGTTGCCCACAAGCACTGATGATTAAAAATCAGAAGGGTAATAGATTGGGGAAGGGGGTTATCACTTTGTGAGAGGTGTAAATTTCTAACTATTACATTGTTTTGTACACCTGAAACTAAAAAAAAAAAAAAAAGTTGGGCCTGCAAGGAGGGGCTTATGTGTGGGCTCTGGGTTGCAAGACGAGGAATGGTGTCCAGTGCGAGCTCCAGAAGGTCAACATAGGAAGCTTAGGTTCTGAGAGATTGATTGGTCACCATTTAAAAATGTAGATTGAATGTTTTTGGAGGAGCTCTTGGAGGGGAGTCAACCTTTACTTCCCTCACCCCTCCCAAGCTAGTCCTTTGGTGTTTCTACTGGTAGGGGTGTGACCGCTGTCCCAGGTCAGCCTCACAGGTTGGCTTCTGAACCTTATGGAAGAAAGAACTTCAGGCAGCTCAAAAGGAGTTGTTTCCGTTACAGC